TATGTCATGGCCAACCGATGTATCACTCTCCACATTCAATGTCAGTTTCATTGTGGACTTCTCCCCCATATCAGAAGCATGCGACGGAGTTCCATAACTTCCATTTAAAATGTCGTGGGGCAGCACTCCAGAACCAAGAACTGAGGATGCGTAACAGGCTGTCTCGCTAGTGATGCGTGGGTTGACTCATAATCCGCAGTCCCCGTGGTTATATCCGTGGGGCAGATCCATAAATGTATAATTATTGTGCAATTTATATAGGCAACATTGAGGTTTTTCTTTCATTATTTTATGCTATCTGGTATTACTGCATAAACCTAAACTTTAGTGTTTAACTGTACAAGCCCAACAGCCAATCGCCAAATACTGTTTTTGGGAAAGACACTAAAAGATTTGGTGAAGTGGTAAAAGAGGATGATAGCAGTGTTATGTGTGATGATTGTGAGGCTCTATACAAATTCGACAGTCACAAGACGGGACTTCAAATAGGCCTATGGCATGTCAAGGGAACTGTAGCCTACTGTTTATAGAAGTTAAATGGAAACTGAAATCTGGACATTGACTAACCAGAATAACCTACTGGTATTTTTTCTTCACTTTATCACATATAGTTGTGCGGTTGCGGATGGGTGATTAGCAATTGCGGGCGGGTGCGAGTGAACAAACAGCTGACCAGTGCACAACTATGCCTCACTACCTGATAGCAGCAGCAGGTCACAGTGAAATATATATTTTAAAGATAAATGCCATGGCGGCCGTGATGCAATTTAGAAGTAGCCCAAAATGCCAGCAATCCGCGACCAATACATTTTCACCCGCAACATCGTTTTCAAAGTAGTCCAGGAACATCACAGACATTGCAACCCTGCATCCCTCAGACCATTCCATGCATGGACATCTTGTGCAGAGTGTGATCCGAGCACGAGCGTCCAGTTGTGGAGACTACAGCACATCGAGCCTGTGGAAGGACAGGTCAGTAACTCATCAAATATGATATGACATTGTGTAAAACATTGAATTTGTAGATGCATCGAAATTTTTACTTAATGTCCCCTTTTCCCTATGTTTTAGACATGAGGTGTGACATTCAAGGTAAGACATTTAAACATCATAGATATAAATTCCCACTGTGCCCATGATAAAATGCAATGAGAATTGTGTTGTACTACTGAATGAAACTGTGAGAAGATGCACTCAGACCAGCCTTTGTGATTTAACTTACGTTAATTACATTACTTTAGTACAAAGCTCTCCCTCGCCCTCCATTTGGCAAATCTGACCATAATTCTATCCTGCTGATTCCTGCCCACAAGCAAAAACTAAAGCAGGAAGCACCAGTGACTCGGTCAATAAGAAAGTGGTCAGATGAAGCAGATGCTAAGCTACAGGACTGTTTTGCTAGCACAGACTGGAATATGTTCCGGGATTCTTCCGATGGCATTGAGGAGTACACCACATCAGTCAAGGGCTTCATCAATAAGTGCATCGATGAAGTCGTCCCCACAGTGACTGTACGTACATACCCCAACCAGAAGCCATGGATTACAGGCAACATCCGCACTGAACTAAAGGGTAGAGCTGCCGCTTTCAAGGAGCGGAAGCTTAAAATCTCGATATGCCCTCCGACGAACCATCAAACAGGCAAAGCATCAATACAGGACTAAGATCGAATCGTACTACACCGACGCTCGTCGGCTGTGGCATGGTTTGCAAACTATTACAGACTACAAAGGGAAGCACAGCCGCGAGCTGCCCAGTGACATGAGCTAAATTACTTCTATGCTCGCTTCGAGGCAAGTAACACTGAAACATGCATAAATGATCTCACTCCAATACATTTGAATAGAAAGTTAGCAAAAATAGATAAGATCTTGCTACCATGGAAAGGTAAATACCTGTCAATTTGTGGAAAAATCACCCTGATTAACTCTTTAGTATTATCCCAGTTTACCTATTTGCTTATGGTCTTGCCTACGCCTAGCGATAAGTTAAAAAAATTATATGAGTAAAAAAGATTCAATTTTATTTGGAACGGCAAGCCAGACTAAATTAAACGGGCCTATTTATATAATGAATATGAATTCGGAGGACAGAAATTATTAAATATGAAAGCATTAGACCTATCACTAAAAGCTTCAGTCATACAAAAGTTATACTTCAATCCGAACTGGTTCTCTAGCAAATTAGTAAGATTGTCTCACCCAATGTTCAAGAATGGCCTTTTTCCCTTTATTCAGATTACAACCTCTCACTTTCAGTTATTTGAAAAGGAAATAATCTCCCAAATATCACTATTTCTAAAACAAGCCATAGAAAGTTGGTTGCAATTTCAATTTAATCCTCCAGAAACGACATAACAAATAATGCAACAAATATTGTGGTTAAACTCAAATATACTAATTGACAAAAAAAGGTATAATCTTCGTAAATGATATCATCGGTAAGACTGGTGGAGTTATGTCGCACATACAGCTAACAAAAACATATGGAAATGTCTGCTCTACCCAAAATTACAACCAAATAATTGCAGCCTTACCGCAAAAATGGAAGAGGAAAGTGGAAGGGGGAGAAAGTAAGGAACTTGTCTGTCGGCCTTGCATTAAAGAACATAATTGGTTAAAGAAAACTGTGATAAATAAAAAAGTATACCAGTTTCATTTAAGGACCAAAGGATTGACAGCCGTCCCATATAGATTGCAAAATAGTTGGGAAGAGATTTTTGACGTACCGATCCCATGGCATAGTGTTTATGAACTGACACGCAAAACGTCACTGGATTCAAAACTTAGAATCTTTCAATTTAAATTATTATATAAAATTCTTGCTACCAATATAATGTTATTTATATGGGGGATACAATCTTCCCAGCTCTGCAGATTTTGCTGCGAAGAGACAGAATCATTAGATCATTTGTTTTGGTACTGTCCATTTGTAGCTTGTTTTTGGACACAGGTCCAGGAATGGCTAAAGGATTCCAATATTTACCTGGAGCTAACCTTGAAGATAGCATTACTGGGTGATCTGAAAAGTCATAGTCAATTGATCAATAATATAATAATACTTTTAGCAAAAATGTTTATTTTCAATTTACAATCTGTAGAAACAATGAGAATAGCAAGGTTATGAACTTTTGTAAAACATCACAGTACAGTTGAAAAATATATGGCAAATAGAAATCCTATATGGATGGTGTTAAGAGATAGATGGGTGGTGTTGAATGGAGTTGAAGGATGGGACTAATAACAACTAACAACAACTAATAACAAGATAACTAATTATGTAAGCATACTGTGTCCATAATAAGTATATAGGTTGTAGGTTGGGAGCTTTTGTGAAAGAGCACAGTTAGAAAGATATGGCATATAGAAGCAAACCGGATAGACATCATGAAAATGATCGGAGAGGTTGAGAGTAGAAGAAGTCCCCCCCCCCCCTCTTTTACGCTGCTGCTACTCTCTGTTTATTATCTATGCATAGTCACTTTAATAAATCTACCTACATGTATGTATTACCTCAATTACCTCGATTAACTGGTGCCCCCGCACATTGACTCTGTGCCTCACTATTGTTATTTTACTGCTGCTCTTTAATTATTTGTTACGTTTATTTCTTATTTCTGTTGGTATTCTTTCTTAAAACTGCATTGTTGGTTAAGGGCTTGTAAGTAAGCATTTCACTGTAAGGTCTACTACACCTGTTCTATTCGGCGCATGTGACAAATAACATTTGATTTGTAATATAACCTATTCTAGGAGCCTGTTGTTTGTGTATGATCTTTATTCATTGTTCACTTGTTTTTCAACAATGTCAGGTACAGGCAGTGATGACTGGGGCACAGGGGGTAAGACACACAGGGTAAGACACAGGGGGTAAGACACACGGGGTAAGAAATCATTTGAACATCACAGATATAAATTCCAACTGTGTCCATGATGAAGTTAACTACATTACTTTAGTTGGCTGCTTTGAGCAAAATGTATATGTAATATAACCTATTCTGGGAGCCTAGTGTGTGTATGAACTATGTGGAATATTTTTGGACCATTGGCTTCCCTGGAAACAGGTACTGACAGGAGGAGCAATATGAGTGTGTCAGAGGTCGTCACGCTGGATGGGAATGGTGATGGAGGCTTTGGTTGTCAACACAATGAAGAAGCAGATGTTCCTTCCAGTGATGTGGAGCTGACCTTGCACCTGGTGCCAGTAAGGATGGTCTTCACGGAGGCGGTAAGACCCTCCCTCCTTGATATAGAAATCCTTTGAGATCACTGCCTCTTCAATGGTAAGGTCCCTTGCACCATCGGAACACTTGACCTCCACAACTGCTGTGGTGCCCACCAGACCATCCGGTGAGGCACCCAGGATCCCAGACACCGTGAACCAAAGCCCTGACTCCTGCACATCCATCCCTGTAGCCATTTTGAATGACTTGATGCCCTCCTCTTTGTTATCTGTGCCCCACTTTGGGACCCATTTTAGCAGCGATGGAGTAATGCACTTGGCCCTAACCACTACTCCATAATTGCTGGCCATCAACCTCCCTCTCCTCATGGTATAGCTTCCAAAATCTTTTTTACAACGGCGTACCAAAATGGCGCCTCCTGTCAGTCATCTCGGGTTAATACATATAATTGTAACACACCCACATCGAACCACACCCCCAAGACTGAAATCTATTTTTTTTTATGAGTAGCAGATAAACACATGCGGAATCGCTGAGTTCAGTTGCTACATGCCGCGTTCATGTGCTAGTCACTAGGAGCTTCCTAGTTCCGACTAGCACGTGAACGCGGCATCAGTGCATAAGCTTATCATGTGCGTCAAATTTATATGGCACATTTCTACATTGATTAATCTGTCCAAAAGTACAACACAGAATTGAGAGAAACAATAGCATTGCAATGGCAGACTTTTATTAAGACTGATGAGGGAAGCTCTCGTTCTTTCTATTTTAATCCATGAAACAAAGGTTGGCTTAGTGGAATGATGATCATTTGCTGCTATTCACTCAGTCTCCCCACTTTCCCCAGATTCACTCTTCTCAGTCGTTTGACGGCCTCAGAAAGCATCTTCTTATTTTGAGATTGCTCCCTCTTCATTATCTCAATTTTCTTCTTCAGTTTCAGGTTTTCCAAGTAGAAGTCCTGAGGGGAAAACCAACATGTAGAGAATACAAGTTAAGAATATGCATTGCTGTTATACAATCTATATTTTTAACTGCCACAAAGATCTGATCTCCAAGTTCCCCAGCCACCTAATTTTACAATGTTGCTCAGACAAAATGCATGTGAGGTGAGCTGCAGTGTTCACATTTAAACCATGACTGGTGATACATGGGGAGGATATCTTTACCTCTTGGCTCTGGTATATATTCACAGAGTCAGTCTGAGAACGCCTCTCTTGGAGCCTCAGAAGATGACAGGCTTGCTCCAAAGCATGCTGGTTAGCACCGATGGTTGATGAGATATGCTTGATGTACTTCTGGTCCACCTGAATCGTAGTGACATCAAACAGCACCAGTGTGAGATTAAATTATGAAAGGAAAAATGAGCACTACTTTAATCACGTGAACAAAACATTTCAAATGTGGTTTGGAGAAAATATTAATAATCACAATATTGAAACTGGTGGCATTTCAATTCCCCCTTGGGGACCACTAAAGATACATTCAAATCCCAGAGGACTCACTGCTGACTGTGACTTGGGATGGGAGTTGTTGTTGTGGCACTCCTGTAGTAGCCTACTCATCTTATTGGTCATTGTCTTCCCTTCTGATATCAGTCTCTGCAGGGTGATGCAATCATCTTCATGGCCAGTGACATGAGGGCTCTTGTCATTGGCCCACAGTGGGGATAGGCTACTGTTCAATAAGGATGGGACCGAGTCATCTATGCTGGAGTTATGGCTGCTTTGAGAGAGGTTGTCCTTGTCCTTCTTGGCATGATCTCTTCTCCCTGAATAATAAAAACAGTTGTGATAAAGTCACTGAATTTAGTTGAATTTGCCATTCAAGTCAACCAAGGTGTTGCTTTTTTCGAAGCAGAAACCTATATTTGACAGATAATTTGATTACTAGTGTTACATTTATGTAGACTTGATGGTGATATGAGGGACATAAAGCCATTTCAATTAAGCTTTTTACCCCATCATCATACATAATGATCACTGAGACATTTCACATTTCTTACTTGTACCTGAAGGACTGCTCCTGCTTGAATGCCTGGAAGCGCCACACTCCACATAGTTGATGTTAATGATCTTTGGAGGGCACTCGGGCCAACCAGAATGCTCAGGGAGTTTCTCCTCTGTGGCTTTAGTCTGTGTCGTGTCCTTACCGGCAAGCTGTGCTATGATTCGCTGGATCTCAGAGAGGAGTTGATTTAGCTTGGGGTTGTCCTGGAGACCGCCTCCAAACTCTGATGCTGAATAAAAGAGTAGCAACTCAACAGAATCAACATCACATCTAGCAAGTATAACTGTAGATGGAGAGAAAAAGTGAGGGACCTTCTTGTATACATTACCAGTGGGGTTGACTGCAGCTGTTCTCATCTGCTTGGACCCCTGTATCTCCACACAAAATGTCTTGAGGAGCTCATTGCTGTTGGTGAGCTGTTTTTGATAGGCACCGAGCTCGCCCTTCAACCTTAGACAGTGAAATAAACTCACATCAAGTCTTCTATTTGACCATCAACATCTAACTCGATCAGCCTAAGAGCCAGTTCTGTTTTAGCCATCTGTTCTGCAGTGCCATTGTCAAGCCAAAGAACCTCTGCCTCAGGCTATAATTCAATGGAATACTAAAAGTCAAGGCTGGGATGAAAGAGTCTGGAGATTGGACTATTTCCTATACTTATTCCTATTTCCTCCAACCTGTCTATCTCTTCCCGTGTGGAGCTGAGTGAGCCCTCCAGGCTCCTGTTGTTGTCCTCAGAGCGTGCGAGCCCCTCTGTCAGCTTCTCTCTCTCCTCCCTCAGCGTGTCACTCTCTCTCTGGAGCCGTGTGAGCTCACAGGCTGTCTCAACCAGAGCCACCTTCAGTCGCTCTGACTCAGCATGCACACCTGGACATCAGGACAAAAGCATGTACAGTAACAGCTCACCCCTGATTATTCCCTCCGAACAGTCACACAGTTAAGTGTGAAGGTAAGTGTGTTCACCACTTGACTAACTAGGTTGTTATTGTAAAATCATTTGTTGGCTAATGAACTTTAGTGTAACTGCAGTTTTCATGTAACTCTTTCATTGACATTAATGCATGATCTATGTGAAAGTCCAATATAAGTGTGCATCTCAAGTTATAATTCGGCCCTAAATAAATAAATAATTAACCCTATGTCTGTCTGACCTGGGTGGTTCTGGCCCATCTCTGTCCCTGCCTGCTGGGCTCCTGTCTGAGTTGCTGCCTGCTGGGCCTTATGGTTCTCCAGTTGCCCCTGGAGCCTTCCGTTTGCCTGGATGCTCTCCTCCAGACTCTGTCTCAGCCTCAAGATCTCCTGCTGCTGCTCCTCCATTTCTTCTTCCACTGTGAGTGAGTTGGAGGGGGTGAAACTGCGTCCATCACCCCCCTCTCTCTGAGCCATAATGGATCTGCACAGGTCCAGCTGGCTGCGCAGGGTCTCGTTGAGGCGTTTGCTAGCCCTCAGTCTGTCCAGCAGACTGCCATTCTCCCTCTGCAAGAGCTGGAGACACCTCTCACACTTGGTCGGGCCAGCCTCAGTTGGAGGAACTGGGAGGAGGGAGGAGGAGATAGTGAAACAGAAAATAAAAGAGAGGGAGGAAGAAAGAAAGAAAGAAAGAAAGAAAGGAAAATGGGAATGAGAGAGTAAGAGTCTTTATGAGTCTGCTACAATGACATACTTCAGCTACAGACCGCCCCAGACCACAGGCAGACCACTTACACTCACCTTCACTGTTCTCTGGGATAGTGTGGTTGTCAGGGTCCAGAGTCTCTCTCAGACACAGATTAGATCTCCTCCTCTCCCTTTGGACTGCAAGCTGCTCCAGGCCCTAATCAAAAACCCACAGTAAGATTGATACGAGTAGGAAATTAGAAATTGATTGAATTACAATAGAATTGACCCCAGTTCTGATGGTCACATCTACAGTACCTTGATGATCTGCTCCCTCTCAGTCAGAAGTTGTCTGAGTTCAGAGACCTCTGAGCACTTCTCTTGCAGGGAGGCAGAGATCTGAATCTGTGCTGTGGATAGCTGCTCCTGCCTCTTCCCATAGTCCTCAAGCTCCAGCGTGTGCTTGGCCAGAATCTGGCTGTGATGTTCTCTGAACTCCTTCAAAGAGAAAATATAAATTAGTTTCTGGCAGCCTTGTCTCAACGTCTGTGGTTAAAGGAAAGAGAGGAGACAGAACATTTTTGACAAAGGTAGTATATTATGTACACCTATATATGGCTCTAGTGGAACCTATTCTCGTTACCTTGAACATCTGTTCATTGATGGTGATATAAGACATTAGCTTCTCTACTGTGAGTTTGTAGTTTGTCAGTTGTATCTCCTTGTCTGCTGTGCTCTGCATGAACAGGACGTCCTTCTCTTTCAACATCTGATCCAGTTGCTCCAACTTCCTATTGCTGTCCTCTGTCTGGCTCTGTAGTTTCTGTTCTGCTAGTTGATTTTCTAGCATCCGTTTGTCCTTATCATCAGTGGTCTGAGCCAAAATGTCAACAGCCTCCTTGAGTCTCTGTTCCAGCGGCTCCATCTTCCTGTCTCTGTCCTCCGCTTGACTCTGTAGTTTCCTGTCTGTAAGTTGATTGTCCTGCAGATATTTGCCAGTGGTATGAGCCAAAATGTCCTCCATTTCCTTGAGTTTCTCCCCCAGCTGCTCCAACTTCCTGTTGCTGTCGTCAGCTTCACCCTGCAGTTTCTCCATTTCAAGTTGATGGTCTGTCATCTGTGTCTCCTTTTCCTGGGTTGTCTGAAGCAAAATGGCTTCTGTCTCTTTTAGGCTCTGTTCCAGTTGCTCCAGCTCTTTGTTGCTATCCTTAGCCTGGCTATGCAACCGGCCAACCATGATCTGGGGAAAGAGATGAGACAAACAGTCCAGAAATAGGTACAATACATTTCCCATTTTAATTCCACAACTAGAAATTACACTGTGAAATTGTAATTATATAAGCATGACCAAATAATTACTTAGAATTGTCACTCTACCTCTAGATCCTCTGAGTTCCTGTTGACCACCTCCTGTAACTGGGAGATTATATAGTCTTTCTCCTGGAGCTCCTGGTCCAAGCCCTTCATCACTGACTCTAAAGACTACAGGAGAGAGACAGGAATAAGAATCCTGAAATGATATCTGATGTTCTATCACTTAGCACCAGATGTATTGCAGCAGGTTGAGTACCTATATTATCAACTCAATGAGTCACATATTGTTGTAGACCATGGGTCTCCACTCCACTGCAATCACTTGAGAGTTATGCACTTGAGAGTTAGGTTCATATAGACAAATAGTTACAAAATAACTGCTTCCTAGGTTTGAGACCCCTAGTCTATGTGACTCTTGTATAAGGACATACATTCCTTGTAGATTTGTCCTAAAAGGCAGAACATTGAGGTATCTGTTACCTTTAGCACTTGAGCATTGATACTGGTGGCAGACTGGAGCTCTTCCACTGTGAGTTGGTGGTCAGTCAGCTGTCTCTGCTTATCTGCTTTGGTTTGAGCCAACATGTCTGTTGTCGCTCTCAGTCCCTGCTCCAGTCGTTCTAGCTCCCTGTTGCTTTCCTCCATCTGGCTCTGGAACTGACCAGCCATGACCTGAAGAGATATTACCGGCAATATGAGAGAAACTCTGAATGAGTTTCATTTGAACAAGATAGTTTTTTTTTAGCTCATGTTCGACTTCGCTAGGGTGTTGTTGTTTTCTCCAAACCATTTTTAAATCTGCTTGCTGTTTATTTAGTAATGTCCAGAATCTTCTGGGTAGCTTTTTTTTTTTTGAATATAGCATTCAAAAGCATAATTTTGTCCTCCTGTACCTCCACGTCCTTGTTCTTCCTGTCCAGAGCGTCCTGTAGGTGTGCAAAGGCCCTGTCCTTGTCTTGTAGTGTTTGGCACAGTCTCTCCTCCAGATCCTGCTTGGCTCCCTGCAGACGCTTAAACACATCCCTGGTCTGATTCATCTCCACGTCTCGCTGTCGCATCAGAGCACTCACACTCTGCTCAACACAGTACATTGTATTATTGACATTAATAACATACAACATCAAAAAAAGTAAGATGATTGACGTATGAATACAATTCGAACAGGGGAGATAGTATCACCAGAGGGGGAGGCAAGTGAGGTAAACACACATTTATCAGATGTTGACAGCAAGACAGCTGGTCGTTCCTATCTTGCAGATTGGTTAGCTTCTGCAGCAGTAGAGACAGCTTTGAAGAGCTGTCGTTTCCTTTCCCTTCATTGGCAGTGAGGATATCATCCTTGGCTCGCTAGGAAAATATAGGGACGCTCTTATCAATTAGCAAACTGCAATCAATATGTGGTTAAGTAATGGAATCTCCACAATTAAATAGTATGCATTGAGGTAAAGTACGTTTATAGCATCTTGGATGTGAGACAGGAGGTCTTCTTGGGCAGGTGGGTGTGTTTGGATGTCCAGCAGAGACTTCTGAAGACGCTCAATCTCCCTGTTGTTCAGCTCTACCACAGCCAGCAGCTCTTCCCTGGCTCTCTGCACCAGAAAACATATAGCTAGTTGAGGCTTTCAATCTATACTATTTCTAACAAAAAACAAAGGTATGGAAATGTACAGAGCAAAAGCCCGAAAGAAAGTGATATGTGTGACAGTGAATCTCACCTCAGAAGCCTCCTTCACCTCTTCAAGCTGCTGCTGTGACACTGATTCCTGCTGGTGACCAGTGGTAATGTCAGGGCATGTGCACACATGGCCCTCCTGAGAAAGAGAATGTCAAAATTGGTTCACTTTCACACTCCTGTGTATATTATCCAGTGAATGCGTTGACAGTCCATGGAAATTATATGATACCATACGTGTATGCTTTTTCATACAGTGTTGCTTAGTTGATTCTGGCATGTTGTAGACCTAATACCTTTAGCAGTTGATCTTTTTCCGGCAGTGTGCAGTTGAATGTCTTTACGGTGGCTTCCAGCTCCTTCAGTTTAATCTCATTCTCTGTTAGGAGGAAGTCTTTCTCTGCAATCTCTTCATTGGACTTTTCCAAAGCATCCTGGAGCTCCTGATAGACAAAGGAACAGAATTGTAAGTTACAGTACTTTAACAGATAGAATGGTGTTCTGCTTATCTATCCTGATAAAGCTGATTAGCTTATCAATTCCTGAATTTCATGTATTTAAAAAAACATGTGAAGAATTACAGAAACATTTCACAGCAGAAGTGGATAATTTAACTTCATAATTGGAGAACAGAGGACCTGGAGAGAAAAGGCCTGTGCGTTACCTTCATCTTTGAGTCATATTTGATCTTCTCATTGGCCAGTTCATTCTCAAGAGTCTGGGGAAAAACCAACAACAACATACTCAGGGATGGATAAATAAGAGATAAATAATAGATGGTTGGATCTACACACAATAGTTTTGGTCAGAGTATGAACAGCTGTGAGTTCTTACATGGATTGTATCCTCATGGCTAAACAGCAGGTTGTTGAGGGTCAGCAGTTCTTTCTCCTTCTCCCGCAGACATGCCTGAAGCTGGCCGATCGTGTCTGTCTCTCCATCGCTTGACTAAATGTGAAAAGGGACAGAGGTTAAAGATGGGTCAACTTGACATAATATAACCTCATTTACTCCAGCATTTAATTTACATTTTGTTAATTTAGCAGACGCTCTTATCCAGAACAACTTGCAGTCAGCACATTCAACTAAGGTAAGTAAGTCAACCACAAAACAATTATGTAGATGCCAGGGATTGAACCCAGGGCCTCATACATGCAAAGCATACACTCTACCACTGAGATACATCCCTTTCTATGAATGGATGATATTCTTACCTGAACAGCTTTTTTCTTCCCACTATCTTTCTCATGTATTTTGAGGTTGAGTTTCTGGATGGCGGCTTCCTGCTCCTTGACTTGAAACTCACACTCAGCCAACTGGAAATCCTTCTCTGCCATCATATCCTGCATCTCCTGAACAGTGAGTTATCAGCACCATTATTATCATCTTTATTACAAAATTATTATAGATTCGGGACATATCTAGTCATTCTCTGTTCCTGCAACAAACACACTGTACTACACTATATATACAAAAGTATGTGGACACCCATTCAAATTAGTGGATTCAGCTATTTCAGCCACACCCGTTGCTGACAGGAGTATAAAACCAAGCACACAGCCATGCAATCTCCATAGACAAACATTGACAGTAGAATGGCCTTACTGAAGAGCTCAGTGACTTTCAACGTGGAACCGTCAAAGCATGCCACCTTTCCAACAAGTCAGTTCTGCCCTGCTAGAGCTGCCCCGGTCAACTGTAAGTGCTGTTATTGTGAAGTTGAAATGTCTAGGAGCAACAACGGCTCAGCCGCGAAGTGGTAGGCCACACAAGCTCACAGAACGGGACCGCCGAGTGCTGTCCTCGGTTCCAAACTGCCTCTGGAAGCAACATCAGCACAATAACTATTCGTCGGGAGCTTCATAAAATGGGTTTCCATTGCCGAGCAGCCACACACAAGCCTAAGATCACCATGCGCAATGCCAAGCGTCGGCTGGAGTGGTGTAAAGCTCGCCACCATTGCACTCTGGAGCAGTGGAAACACGTTCTCTGGAATCATTAACCACGCTTCACCATCTGGCAGTCTGATGGACGAATCTGGGTTTGGCGGAAGCCAGGAGAACGCTACCTGCCCCAATGCATAGTGTCAAGTGTAAAGTTTGGTGGAGGAGGAATAATGGTCTGGGGCTGTTTTTTATGGTTCGGGCTAGGCCCCTTAGTTCCAGTGAAGGGAAATATTAACGCTACAGCATACAATGACATTCTAGACGATTCTGTGCTTCCAACTTTGTGGCAACAGTTTGGGGAAGGCCCTTTCCTGTTTCAGCAAGACAATGCCCCCGTGCACAAAGCCAGGTCCATACAGAAATGGTTTGTCGAGATTGGTGTGGAAGAACTTGACTGGCCTGCACAGAGCCCTGACCTCAACCCCATCGAGCAACTTTGGGATGAATTGGAATGCCGACTGCAAACCAGGCCTAATCGCCCAACATCCGTGCCCGACCTCACTAATGCTCTTGTTGCTGAATGGAAGAAAGTCCCCGCAGCAATGTTCCAACATCTAGTGGAAAGCCTTCCCAGAAGAGTGGAGGCTGTTATAGCAGCAAAGGAGGGACCAACTCCATATTAATGCCCATGATTTTGGAATGAGATGTTAAACGAGCAGGTGTCCACATACTTTTGGTCATGTAGTGTATGTATATGATAACTTTTGTTTCTGATTGGGCCAATATGGAATTTGATGCTTGATTTGATCATGAATATTGGATTTTGTGTCTCATCCCACCTTCAGGTGTCTGTCATATTTTCTCTTCTCTCTGCCATGATCCTGTTCCAGAGCCTGAGAAATAAAGGTTTTAAAGGTCAGTGACTGACACAAACACACACACACACACACACACACACACACACACACACACACACACTGACCTGCAGGTCCATCTCTCTCTGAGCAATGAGAGATGACAGCTGGCGGTCGGGGTCGGCTGTTGGCTGGTCTCCGCTACCCTGGCCAGCACCACTGTATCTCAGCTGGTCTATTAGAACCTCCTGGGACTTCACAGACGCCTGCAGCTGCTCTATCAGCCTGGGGGAGAGAGAGGGACAGAGAGAGAGAAAGAGAGAGAAGGAAAGAAGAAGATAATTAGAGGGAGCAAGAGAGAGAGTACATTTACATTTTAGTCATTTAGCAGACGCTCTTATCCAGAGCGACTTACAGTTATTTATTTTTATTTTTTTCATACTGGCCCCCTGTGGGAATCGAACCCACAACCCTGGCGTTGCAAACACCATGCTCTACCAACTGAGCTACATCCCTGCCGGCCATTCCCTCCCCTACCCTGGACGACGCTGGGCCAATTGTGCGCCGCCCCATGGGTCTCCCGGTCGCGGCCGGTTACGACAAAGCCTTACCTGTTACATCACTGTAACAGGTAAGGACAAACTTAATTAATTATGATTCCATGGAGGGAACAGATAAACCTAAGGAGGTCTCTAGTCGCTCCTACCAATCTCTCTCCTCCAGCAGACTGAGTAGGTCCTGGAACTGCTCCGGGTTCTGGTTCCTGTCTGGGTCCTGTTCCTTGGGTAGGGGGTCAGTCTGTGTGGGTGCATCGGACTGGGAGTGTTCAGTCTGGGTGGGGGCGTCCGACATGGAGTGGTCAGTCTGGGTGGGTACGTCAGTTTGGGAGTGACCCTCCCCCTGAAGCTCCTTCTCCAGCTCCAGGCAACGCATTCTCTCCTGCTCCAACATGGTTGTCAGCTTCCCCACCTCCACTCTGGATGAATCCAGATCCTGGAAATAAATGGGAACGATATTCAGCAAATCTTGGAGGACATTGGAGAACACTTGGTTATGGAATACGTCTTCAGCCTAAATGTGTTGTTCAGATACCTTCTCTAGCTGCTGGATCTTGGTGTTGCAGTACTCTCGGAGCTGCTCCATCTGCTCTGGGTAATCTTGACTAGATCATACAAAACACAGGCAGATTAGATACAATACCAACAAATATTATTTATAGTCGGTCAAAATGAAAGATTCTCGGCTAAACTTACAGTGCAAGGGCAGAGACGCTCTGCAGCTCCCTCATTTCCTCTTTCAGTGTTTCAACCTCTACCTTCAGGTCAATGTTCTGTGTTGAGATAAAAAACACATGTAGTTATACAATAAGCCTACCTGTACAGTAGTTACATGACTGTGCTGTTCATGATGTCTCTGATCACTCACTGTTTTGTACATTTCCTCAACAGAGTCATCACACCTCTGCTGCAGCCGCTCCTCGTAGAAGAAGATGCGGAGTCTGAGGTTGAAGTTGTCCTTCTTTAGGTCAGAGATGATCTGAGAACAACAGTGTGAGTGAGGAGGAACAGTAGTGTTAGGACCAGAACTACATGTACTGCCTATCTATGGCTCTGGTGAGGCCTATTTAGAGCAGCATTTTTGTATGAGTGGAAAGAAATCCTTTGAATTCATGGTCCCATTTTAAATAACTAAATGTAATGAAGCCTTCATAAACCCTTTATAAGGCCCATATACAAATGCTTTAGAAATCACAAATAAGCAAATGTCATGCTATAAATTGTGGTAAAAAGGTTGTCATGTTTGGCAAAGCACCAGATCACCTGTTATATCATCCATCCTTAGTATGACTTTGCTTATACAGTAAATCATTTGTGAAGCATTTATCAAGTCGTGCTTATGAAGATGATTATACAAATAGGCTAGTCCTCATGTAGGCTAGTATAGGCCGACGGGCCGCCCCCAGGTGGTGAGGTTAGGCAACAACACATCTGCCACGCTGACCCTCAACACAGGGGCCCCTCAGGGGTGCCTGCTTAGTCCACTCCTGTACTCCCACGACTGAAAGCCAGGTCTAATCGGCCAACATCAGTGCCCGACCTCACTAATGCTCTTGTGGCTGAATGGAAGCAAGTCCCCGCAGCAATGTTCCAACATCATGCCCATGATTTTGGAATGAAATATTTGACGAGTGCACATACTTTTGGTCACGAAGTGCATCTACAGTTGAAGTCGGAAGTTTACACCTTAGCCAAATACATTTAAACTCAGTTTTTCACAATTCCTGACATTTAATCCTAGTAAAAATGTCCTGTCTTAGGTCAGTTAGAATAACCACTTTATTTTAAGAATGTGAAATGTCAGAATAATAGTAGAGAGAATGATTTATTTCAGCTTTTATTTCTTTCATCACATTCCCAGTGGGTCAGAAGCTTACATACACTCAATTAGTATTTGGTAGCATTGCCTTTCAATTGTTTAACTTGGGTCAAACGTTTCGGGTAGCCTTCCATAAGCTTCCCACAATAAGTTGGCTGAATTTTGGCCCATTCCTTCTGACAGAGCTGATGTGACTAAGTCAGGTTTGTAGGCCTCCTTGCTTGCACATGCTTTTTCAGTTCTGCCCACACATTTTCTTTAGGATTGAGGTCAGGGCTTTGTAATGGCCACTCCAATACCTTGACTTTGTTGTCCTTAAGCCATTTTGCCACAACTTTGGAAGTATGCTTGGGGTCATTGTCCATTTGGAAGACCATTTGCGACCAAGCTTTAACTTCCTGACTGATGTCTTGAGATGTTGCTTCAATATATCCACATAATTTTCCTTCCTCATGATGCCATCTATTTTGTGAAGTGCACCAGTCCCTCCTGCAGCAAAGCACCCCCACAGCATGATGCTGCCACCCCATGCTTCACGGTTGGGATGGTGTTCTTCGGCTTGCAAGCGTCCCCCTTTTTCCTACAAACATAACAATGGTTATCATGGCCAAACAGTTATATTTTTGTTTCATCAGACCAGAGGACATTTCTCCAAAAAGTACGGTTGCAAACTGTAGTCTGGCTTTTTTATGGCGGTTTTGGAGCAGTGGCTTCTTTCTTGCTGAGTGGCCTTTCAGGTTATGTCGATATAGGACTTGTTTTACTGTGGATATAGATACTTTTGTACCTGTTTCCTCCAGCATCTTCACAAGGTCCTTTGCTGTTGTTCTGGGATTGATTTGCACTTTTCGCACCAAAGTACGTTCATCTCTAGGAGACAGAACGCGTCTCCTTCCTGAGCGGTATGACGGCTGCGTGGTCCCATGGTGTTTATACTTGCGTACTATTGTTTGTACAGATGAATGTGGTACCTTCAGGCGTTTGGAAATTGCTCCCAAGGATGAACCAGACTTGTGGAGGTCTACAATTTTTTTCCTGAGGTCCTGAGGTCTTGGCTGATTTCTTTTGATTTTCCCATGATGTCAAGCAAAGAGGCACTGAGTTTGAAGGTAGGCCATGAAATACATCCACAGGTACACCTCCAATTGACTCAAATTATGTCAATTAGCCTATCAGAAGCTTCTAAAGCCATGACATCATTTTCTGGAATTTTCCAAGCTGTTTAAAGGCACAGCCAACTTAGTGTATGTAAACTTCTGACCCACTGGAATTGTGATACAGTGAATTATAAGTGAAATAATCTGTCTGTAAACAATTGCTGGAAAAATTACTTGTGTCATGCACAAAGTAGATGTCCTAACCGACTTGCCAAAACTATAGTTTGTTAACAAGACATTTGTGGAGTGGTTGAAAAACAAGTTTTAATGACTCCAACATAAGTGTATGTAAACTTCCGACTTCAACCGTACCTCAATTACCTCGTACCCCTGCACATCGACTCGGTACTGGTACCCTGTGTATATATCCAAGTTAACGTTACTCATTGTGTATTTATTATTACTTTTATTATCACGTGTTTTACTTTTCTATTATTTCTCTATTTTCTTTCTCTCTGCATTGTTGAGAAGGGCCAGTAAGTAAGCATTTCACTGTTAGTCTACACCTGTTGTTTACAAAGCATGTGACGGATAAAATGTTATTTTCTTTGTGTCTGCACCTGTGTTATCTCCTTCATGGTGAATGGTCCATCGGTGGTCAGTGGGTCCAACTGCCCCAGCTCTTCTGCAAGGTCCATTTTTTAATGCTCTGCTGACAGTTTGGTTGGACCTAAACACGGCCTGGTCTGGTGTCTAGCAAAAAGTATAAATTAAGCAGTAAAACATATGACCATGAGAATTCCACATAACATGATATCTTGTGTATAATCATTTCTATTTGGAGTATTTTGCCTGTTTAGAGCAGCAAAACCATGTTCATATTTGATTTGAATACCTCTTGCCGCCGACTGCTCCTCCTAACCTTCAATGACACCAGTGCACGTTCTAGAACTCAGTAAATAATTTGATGCCTGACTGATGTGACGTAACAATTGTCTCCTAGGTAACAACATGAAGCTTCTACATTCTTTAAAAGTGATAGCTATCATCAAGAATATTTCCACCTTTCTTTGATATCATCAGAGAGGATGAGGCAAAGCAGTATATTTTTCAACTGTTTCAAGATGTGCAGATCATATATGCAGTGGTGATTTTAGCATGTAAATCTTGGTGGGGTAATGTTTTTATTATTTTATTTTTTAGATGCATGCCAGCAAAGGCACTACACAACACAATACATCAATTGCACTATAAGGATGACAAACGGTGCCCACAAACTGTTAGGGCCTACATAAAGCTGTCCTAACAGCAGAGTCCCAACAGCAGTCCCAATACCTTACCACTGCTACACCTGGCTATCAGCAGCCTTGTCTGGCAGCGAAACAGTTAATTCAGCCTCATTTACTGCCATTTAAAAAAACATAGCTGATATGGCTGACTTGCTTAAACAAATGTGGTTTCTACTTACAATTGATATGTACAAACTATGGCATAAGGGGACGACGAGCGGATAAGAGGCAATCAGTCAATATAACTATTTGTTCAGCACTTTTGAAACGTACAGCGACAGAATTCAGAACATGGGCCGTTCTTACAGTATTCTCGCTGTACACCAAGTCAGAACCATAGGATAAATAAAGGGGACATATAAGTAGACAAAGAAAGCTCTTACAATATTCGATGACTACATTTCTCTAAAACAGGCTATATGATACATATGCACCACCAAGTCAGAACAGTAGGTGAAATTAGGAGGGGGAAAGGGACCAAATTATTAGGTTGAAGCATTTGGGCTACTAACAGCTTACTACACAACATACACTTAGTATTACTTTCTTAGCTACAGTATACATACCTCCCTGGCATATTACATCATTTATGCAGCAGCATACAACACATTTTTGAACTCACCTTGTTGTGCTGTGCTCACTTGAACAGGAAGGTGGCGCGGCGGTCCTTCGTGGGCAACCTTTGTCATCAAACTTTGTCATCAAAGTCTGGCATTCTCTGGATTTATGGTGCTTTCAAGAAAACAAGGTCGAGTCATGAGGACGTCAGTGATCTTCAGGTCGGAGCTCTAGAAAGAGGCCCAAGTTCCTGACTTGCAATTCCGAGTTGGATGACCGCTGAAAACGTATTTTCCCAGTCGGAGCTCGTTTTTTCCCAGTTGTCTTGAACTCACTGAAGTCTGAGATTTCCCAGTTCCGGGTTTCCAGTTGTTTTGAGCGCGGCAGAAGTCATGCTGGATTGACAGCATGGCCAATGTTGAATGTTGATCCGTTTAAGCTTGGAAAAGCGACCCTTAAACCCAGACTTGGACCACAAACCCAGTCCACTGAATAGCAGGCTAGTGATTGCTTTGCAATGCTTGCAGTTAGCCACTGATTCCTTCCAAACCACTCATTGTTGAATTTGCGATTTCCAACTTGTTGTGTAATGTTTATGTCCAATGGCCGATGAGCACCAATTTGTTTTATCTATAATTTCTCTTTATTATTTCTCTTCATACGACAAGGATTGGAAAGGATTTGACAGTAGATTGTCGACTTCATTCATGATGATGACTTCTAGTTTGCTATCTAATAATTTGAAAATATGATGTTGACATGATCAGTCCAATCAAAGCTAATGTAGATATAATGTGATTTGATGTCATTTTATCTGTGGCCAATGACCTTGACCGTCTTATCAAGGTCATTGGCCACAGATAAAATGACATCAAATCACATTATGACCGTCTTATCTCCCGTCTTATCCAGTGTCCTGTGTGAATTTAAGTATGCTCCCTCTAATTCTCTCTCTTCCTCTCTCCCTCCCATCCCGGAGGACCTGAGCCCTAGGACCATGCCTCAGGAATACCTGACCTGATGACTCCTTGCTGTCCCCAGTCCACCTAGTCGTGCTGCTGCTCCAGTTTCCACTCTTCTGCCTGTGGCTATGGAACCCTGACCTGTTCCACCGGACGTGCTACCTTGTCCCAGACCTGCTGTTTTCAACTCTCTCTCTCTACCGCACCTGCTATTTCAACCTCTAAATGCCCGGCTATGAAAAGCCAAGTGACAT